CTCTAGATTACTTATAATACCTAATACAATGTAAACACTATGTAAATACAGTTGCCGGCAAATAACTCAAGTTTTACTTTTATGAACTTTCCAGAATTTTTTTCCCTGAATATTTCTGATCTGCAGTTGGTTGAATCTGTGAATGCGGAACCCACAGATATGTAGGGCTGACTATAAAATCTAGTAGTTGTCAGGAGCTGTCTCCCTGAAACGTGGGTCTATGTTATTCAGCAAGTAGGTTTCAGCAAGATACAGCATCTAGTTAAATGAATTTCTGAGTCTCTGAAAAGTGGGGGGGGGGTGACAGGGCACACAGGACTGAGTTTTTACAAACTGGTAAAGTTAAATAATCTACACACACACAAAAAAATCTTTATTCACAACAATCATTTCACATGTATACTCTCAGAGAAGCCCTGGCATTTGAAAAAAGCTAAAGATTTATAATTAACAAAAAAATAGATTTATTTCTGAAGATTCTTCTCTAAATGGAAGCAAAGCAGCAGAGTGGAAAGAGCACTCACTAGCTTTGGATTCAGGCAGACCTGGGTTCAAATCTTAGCTTCTCAATTTAAAGCTGAAAAAGTTCCTTGAGCTCTGAATTTGTTCCTTCATCTCTACAAGTAGAAACAATAACTACCTTACGGCATTGTTTTGAGGATTAAATGAGTTAATTTTTTAAGAGTCTGGTACCTATACATACTCAATATAGTATTGTAACAATAATTATAATCAACCAAATTTACTCTTATGAAACAGATTAACTTTTGGTTTGGTAGGAGAGAATTACCTTTAGTTCAGGTTAGTAACATCCCATGCTAACTTTCCTCCACAGTATCATTAAAAGAAACATTTGAATTCTTAATTCTTAGCTTACCCAGTGGCCATCATTAAGGATTCCCAGCGACAACCACTGAGAATGTAACACTCCAAGGTGAATCATTGCCCACGGGACTCAACTCAAATTCCCATGTTAGTTGTTTCTGCCCCAGGGCACCAAAGCCAATACATATCATCGATGATTTTCAAAGCCAAGTAAATGGTAGGCCTATCAATTTTCCTTTTATTTCTCTTCGTTGTCTCATTCATTTCTTTTCCTCATTTCATTTCTCATCTATTATAATTTCTTACTTGTCCTAGTCAAGCAGTATCTTCTATCCATCATTTTTTAAACTTCCATAATCAAAAAATCACATATCACATAAACGTAAGTATAGACAGAGAACAAAGCAGTAAAACACTTCTGTAAGTGATCTGTAAGAATAAACTTGAAAAAACTGCTAAGAGCCTTAGACATATTATTCAGTAAAGAAAAGAAATCTAAACTTTGATTCTGAAAAACCTAGAAATTACCAAGACCCTTGTCATTCTCTCATCATGTAATCACACTGCTCTCAGACTTGGGCTATGAAAAGTTTGAGATTTTCATTTGGCTTCTCCCTCCCTCCTTCCATCCGGCCTCAATTTGGTCAATGAGATTTTAAGGTTAGAACAACAGTTGAGAGGAATGTGACAAGGCACTTTTAAAAACATAATTACTAGAAATATACCTAAATCTCTCTTCAATAGTTTAACTTCAGCTTTGAGTCTTAGGGAATTTACGAATGCAGTAAGACTAAACTAGAATAAAGGTTGGTTTTTTTTTTTTAAGTTTTCAGACATTGATTTTCAATAAAATAAGCACATTAAAATTTATTGAACCAAAACTTAATATACTAAACTTTTAAACCAATTTCCACATTCAAGTTTAATTTGGAAATGAAATCCCATTTCTAAAACCCATTTGAAAGAGAAAATAAGGTTTTTTATTTTCAAATCTGACTGAATATTCTAAATTTTTAACCTCAGTAACACACACTATCATTACCTAATACATTTCCAGACCATCACTATTAAAATGCCAAGTTTGGTTTTTTACACACAACTAATGGTAATCAAGTTCCAATTTAATAATGGCATTTAAAAATACATTTCAACCATAACTTCTTATGAAAAATTAATACACTTTACCTTTTGGCAAGCTTTGCATAGTAATATCATTTTCTGAATTTTCATTAGAAGCATCTTCATTTACAGTTTCATCCAAAGGTTTTTCATCATCAGATTCTACATACTTAGTTACAATTGAAGGTTTCCTATGAAAGAATTAAGTGCACAGAATTATGGACATTTCTGATAGTTGGAAAAACACCCAAAGAACATAAATAACATGTTTAGGTTGAGCAGTTGCTCTTAACCAGGAATACATATTAGAATCACCTAAGGAAGCATACACTTCTATACTGTAGAACTGAATATTATGATTTAGTAAGTCTGGGGTAGGACCAAGTCACGTGCATTGAAAAAGCTACCAGGGGTTGTGAAGAGAACTTCTATTTAAGAAGCACTACTTTAGGGAGTAAGTTAATAACAAGTAAGTTGTGATTATTAAGAATCATTCCCACTGGTTTGTAGAAACGAAAGTCCAATAGAATAAACTGCAAACTTCTAATAAAAGCTATACTCCACAGTATATGCATAATAACTTAGTGTTACAGTATACTTGGAAGAAGTTTCAGTCTTTATGTACAATTCACTTTGGCAATTTAACACAGAAAAGTATTTTTACTACTATCTGATCTTATAACTTTCTCATAACTATGATGGCTACACTCCCCATCCTAGACAATTTCATATAACCCTAAAAAAACCATAGTCATAATGAAGCATTTACCAATTTATTTACTCTTTTCTCCTTTTTTTTTAAAGAAATTACCTACATATTGCAAGTGCCACTAATATATAATAAATCCCCCAGACACTTTTAATTAAAATTAAGTCAGAATGAATTGGTAATTGTTGAAGTCAAATGATAGATACAAAAGCATTCAATATACTATACAGCCCATTTTTAATATGTATGTTTGTATAAAATAGTTTACTTAGAACAAGAGTACCTGAAGTTTAGAAAAAAAGAAAGAAACTTTTTTCCCTTGAACATCAACCAACCTCTTTGATCGTGATGATCCTGATGATTTGGACTTCTCTGAAGAGCTAGCTCCCTAAATGTGAGAAATAAATAGAAAGGTGAGTAAAACTCTCAAAGAAACATCCCTACAATTAAGTATTTCCCTACACCAGTATCTCTAATACAGTGACAGAATGAGATATAATTTATACACCTAGAATATTTTTCTAAATGAAGCATCAAAAACTAATTCTTGTTTACTCTTAAGGTTTCCTTGATTTAAGATTAATTTTTAATAAAATTGTTACTGTTAAATTTTGAGGTGTAGAGGTGATACACTGCTGTATTATGATCTTGGCCTAAGTCAACAAAGACAAAAAAAAAAGGTGTAGAGGTAATCAGATCCCAAGAGAGGTAGAAAGTTTTAAAGATTGAAAAATGTATTACTTTCTCTATCCTAACATCTAGCACAGAGTACCTTCTATAATTTCTTTTGAGATATAGACCAGTATTTTGCCAGTATAATCAGTATATTTTATTGAATTTAGTTCTTCACACTAGGCGGAAAGAATCCTAAAACCATAGTTTAGGCTTGGGTATCGGGTGAAGGACTTCAGGATGGGTTCATATAATAATGTTTAAGAGACTCTGAATTATCTGGTTTTAAGACATCTCAGAACCATGGAGTTATGCCTATAACAACCACCTGGAGCATCACTGTTGCAATATAATAACATTCAAATACCTATCCGTTTGCAAGCCTTCCGTTGTCTGACTTTAGGTATACTGCTGAAGCAAGCAAACCACAATAACAACAAAAACAATAAATACTATCAAAAAATGGACAACTACCCAAAATGAAGTAACATAATAATACTTGAGTTTAACAGTAAACTTAAACACATGCATCCATTAAGTAAAAGCAGTCGATGACCTATACTCTAGTTGGTTAGTATCTTTTAAATGCTTCAAATTATTCTTACCTCTTCCTTGCTGTTTTCCATCATATCAGAGTTATTTCCAGAACCACTAATTTTATCTTAAAAGAGAAGAAATAAAAACACTATTTATCTCTTTGGTACATTATCAAACAGAACACCAAAATCTATAATTCCATGAACCCATTTTTCAATCTATGAAGTGTGGCAGTACTGGTAATACTTTACTTACATTAAAATATTCCTAGAAGAGTTTCCTGAATAGAATCACTCTCTTCTGACACACTAACTCCTTCTTAAAAAGCATTTATAAAAAAAAAAGCAGTTTGGTATCATAACATTTCCTAGTGTAATTTTTTTAAGGTTTTTCTCTTAAAAGAAAATTTAAGCTCCATATTCTACTAAAAATAAAATCATACTATTAATAAATTGTATTTTCCTTTACCATAAGACACTAAAAAAATGGCAAACTAAATCTACAGGAGGCAGAGGGAAGAAAATAATTAATATTAGAGCAGAAATTAATGAAACAGGGAATAGAAAAACAACAGAGAAAAATCAACAAAACCAAAATCATTTTTTTGAAAATTGAAAAAAGTCTTAGGCTAGATAAACCAAGAGAAAAAGGAGACAATACTCAAATAACTAGAATCAGAAATTAAAGAAGGGATGTTACTACTTATCTTAAGGAAATAAAAGGATCATAAAGGAATAACACGAACAATTGCCTTATTCCAAAAAAACAGATAACCTAAATGAAATGGAAAAACTCCTAAACACAAACTACTGAAGTGGACTCCTGAATAGATCATGTGAATAGAAGTATAACTGAAAAGACTGAATTAGTAATCAAAAAACTACCCACAAAGAAAAATAAAGGTCCAAATGGTTTCACCATTAAATTGCACCAAACGTTCAAAGAAAAAAAAGAATTAACACCAATTCTTCACAAAATTTTACTAAAAAGGTGGGAACACACCCCAACTCATTTCACAAGACCAGTAGGATAGAAACCAGAAAAGATACCACAAAAATAGAAATCTACAAACCGGTATCACTTATGAATATTGATGTAAAAGCCCTCAATAAAATACTAGCAAAAACTTCCAAACAATAAAAGACATCTTTCTGCTACAGACTGGGAGAAAATATTTGCAAAAGACATATCTAATAAAGAACTATTATCTAAAATATACAAAGAACTCTTAAAATTCAACAATAATAAAATAAACAACATGATTAAAAATAGGCAAAGATCTGAAAACATCTTACCAAAGAACATGTGCAGATGACAAATGAGCAAATAAAAAGATGTTCCACATCATATGTCAATAGGGAATCAGAAATTAAAACAATACTACACATCTATTAGAATGGAAAAAATGCGGAACATTGACACCACCAAATGATGTTGAGGATGTGGAGCATACAGCCACTTTTGGCAATTTCTTAGAAAATTAATCATTCTCTTACCAGATGATCCAGCAGTCACACTCCTTGATATTTACCCAAATAAGTTGAGAACTAAGTCTATTCAAAAACCTGCACAAAGATGCTTATAAACATCTTTTTATTTATAGAAACATCTTTATAAGTAGCTTTTTCCATAACTGTCAAAATGTAGAAGTAACCAAGATGTCCTTCAGACGGTGAGTGGATAAAATAACTGGTACATCCAGACAATGGAATATTATTCCACTCTGCAAAGAAATAAGTTATCAAGCCATGAAAAGACATGGAGAAACTTTAAATGCATATTACTAAGCGAAAGAAGACAATCTGAAAAGGCTACATATTGTATGATTCCAAGTGTATGACACTCTGGAAAAGACAAAACTGTGGAGACAGTAAAAATATGAATGGTCGCCAGGGGTTAGGGGAAAAAGGGAGGATGGATAGATGGTACAGAAGATTTTTAGTTCAGTGAAACTAACCTGTATGATATTATGATAGATGTCATTACACACTTGTCAAAATCCCTAGAATGTATAATAAAATTAGATTTTACAGTAGTGAAATCTAATGCAAACTATGGATTTTGGATGATACTGACTTATCACAATAGGTTCATCAATTGTAACAAATGTGCAACTGTGGTGAGGGATGTTGACAGTGGGGGAGGCTGTACATGTGTAGAGACAGATGCATCAAAAATTTCTGTACTTTCCACTCAATTTTTCTGTGAACCTAAAACTGCTCTAAAAATTAAAATTTATTTTTAAAAATTCTAAAAACTTCCTCAACTATCTACAGAATACCCACAGGTAACATCATACTTAATGGTAAGAAAAAAAATTAATGCTTTCCCTCTAAGATCAGAACAAGACAAGGAAATCTGCTCGTGTCACTCTCCTTCAACACTGTAACGGGGATTTTAGCCAGAGCGAGAAAATAGAAATAAAAGGCATCAAGACCGAAAAGGAGGAAACAAAACTATCTATCTTTGGAGATAACATTATCTTATATGTAGAAAATCCCAAGGAATCCACCAAAAAATATTAGAACTAATAAGTGAGTTCAGAAAGGTTGAAGAATATAAGAATAATATACAAGGGTGGGAAGGGTATAGCTCAGTTAGAGTGCATGCTTAGCATGCATAGGTCCTGGGTTCGATCCCCACTACCTCTATTAACAAATATATGATAATAAACAAACTCATCACCTCCCCCCCAAAAATTTTTTTAAAAAGAATAATATACAAAAATCAATTGTATTTCTATATACTTGCAAAGAAAAATCTGAAAATAAAATTAAGAAAACATTCCATTTACAATAGAATCAAAAAGAATAAAATGCTTAGAAATAAACTTAACAAAACTTATACTCTGAAAACTACAAAATATTATTTCAAGAAATGAAAGATTTAAATCAATGGTAAAACACTGCATGTTCATAAAATAGAAGACAACATTAAAACGGTAATACTTCCCAAACTGATCTACAGTTTAAAAAAGGCAATCCCTGTCAGAATCCCACTTGACTTCTTTGTAGAAACTGATAAGCTCATTCTAAAATTCATGTAGAATGAAAATGGACCCAGAGTAGCCAAAATAATTTTCAAAAGGAAACACACAACAGGAAGACTTACGCTTCATGATTTTAAAACTTATTAAACAAATATAATCAGTACAGTATAGTACTGGCAAAAGGACAGACTTAAGAATCAACGGAAAAGAACTAAAAGTCCAAGAGAAGGGTATAGCTCAGTGGTAGAGCACCTGCTCAGCATGTACAAGGTCCTGGGTTCAATCCTCAGTATCTCCATCAAAAAATAAATAAATCTAAGTATCCCTCCTAAAAAAAAGATATAATATTAAAAAAAAAAACCTGAAAGTCCAGAAATAAACCCATATATATATGGTCGACTGATTTTTCAACAAGAATGCCAAGACCATCCAATAGGGAGAGAATAGTCTTTTCAACAAATGGTGCTGGCACAACTGTGTATCCACATGCAACAAATGAAGTTGAGGATCTGCCTTACAACCACATATAAAAATTAACTCCAAATGCATCAAAACTATAAGATTCTTAGAAGAAAATATTGGGGTAAATCTTCATGACCCTGGATCTAGTAATAGATTTTTAGGCATGATAAGAACAGAATGAGCAACAAAAGCAAAATTAGATACACTGGACTTTACCAAAATTAAAAATGTGCTTCAAAAAACACAATTAAGAAAATTAAAGGAAACCAACAAAATGGTGGAAAATATTTGCAAATCATGTATCTAACCCAAATGCCCAAATGCCCACTGACGGATGAATGATAAAACTAAACACACACACACACACACACACACACACAATGGAATGCTATTCAGCCTTAAAAGGGAAGAAAATTTTGATACATGCTACAACATTGATTAACCTTGAAGGCATTATGCTAAGTTAAATAAGCCAGACACAAAAAACAAATATTGTATGATCCCACTATATGAGGTTCCTACAGTACTCATATACATAGAGACAGAATGTAGAACAGCAGTTGCCAGGGACTGAAGGTAAAGAGGACTGGGAAGTTAGTGATTTTAGTCGGTACAGAGTTTCAGTTGGAGAAGGCGGAGAATTTCTGGAGATGGTGGTGATGGTTACACAACAATGTGAATGTACTTAATGTCACAGAACAGTATACTTAAAATTGGTTAAATGGTAAATGTGATATCATGCATATTTTATCATAATAAAAAGTCTAGGATATATAAAGAATTCTTATACATCAACAACAAAAGATAAACACCTAATTAAAAATGTGCAAAGGATCTAAATAGCTAGTTCTCCAAGGAATATATACAAATTACCAATAAGCACATAAAGAGATGCTCAATATCAATAGCCAAATACAGTAAGACACCACTTCACATGTACTGGGTTGGCTCAAATTAAAAAGTCAGATAATAACGATTGTTGGCATGAACGCAGAGAAATCTGAATCCGTATACATGTTGGTGGGAATGCACAGTGGTGCAGCCACTGTGGGAAACAGTTTGATATTTCCTCAAAGGATTTAACAGAGTTACCGTATAACTCAGCAATTCCACTCCTAGGCATATAACCAAGAGAAGTTAAAATATATGGTCACACACAAACCTGTTCACAAATGTTTATAGTAGCATTATTCATAATAGCCAAAAGGTAGAAACAAGCTGTTATTGTCTATCAACAAATCAAACAAAGGTGGTATATCCATATAAAAAATGTTATTTGGCCATAAAAAGAAATGAAGTACTAATAGACACTAAAACATAAATAAATCTTCAACACATTATGCTAAGTGAAAAAAGCCAGTCACAAAGGACCATGTGCTATACAATGTCATTCATAAGAAGGTCTGAAATAGCGAAATCTATAAAGACAGGAAAGTAGGTTGGTGGTTAGTTAAGGCTGAGGATAGGAGGCGATACCTAAGGGTACAGGGCTTTTTTTTCAGGTGATAACAACATTATAGAATTTACTGTGGAGATGGATGCATGTATCTGTGAACATACTAAAAACTTCTAAATTGTACACTTTGGTGAATTGTAAGCTATGTAAATTATATCTCAACAATGGTGTTAAAAGTTTTATTAGTCCTTAGGGAAATGCAAATTAAAATCACACT